GGGGCTGGCTCCTTTGCCACGATGATCTTGTTGTCAATCAGAGCCTGGATCTTATCCTTCAGGGAGCGGCATTCATCAATGGTGTGCCCTTTCATGCCAGAATGGTATGCACAGGTTTTATTTGGGTTGACCCATTGGGAAGGGTTTTCAGGGGTTATAGCAGGGATAGGGGTGACATAACCAGCAGCTTTGAGTCTTTCATACAGCTGGTCGATTGGTTCAGCAATGGCGGTATACTGTTTGGGAGGTCTGCGGTCGAAATTTGGTCGGGGTCTAGGAAAGTTTTGGCGAGGGGGAGGTGATTGACAGTGGGATTGTTGAGTGTTGTAGGCTTGGTAGACGCGTGCAGGCTGGGAATATCTGGGTGAAGCAGGTTGGTATGTAGGAGGTGGAGGTGATTGGTAGGTAGGCGGTGAGGTTTGGTAGGAGGGTGCGGGTGTTTGGAAATTTGGAGTGGGCTGATATGTAAGTGGAGGTATTGGGTAAGTTTTGTATTTGACGGGTGATTTGGTTCTCTGTGCAACCATTACGGCACCTACGTCCCTTTTCTTGGACGTACCACCAGATTGTAGAGCCTTGTTGGTGGCTTGCAAAGCTTCAAAGTTTGTAACCATACCACTCTTGATACCTTCCTCTATCCTTTCTCCTAGCTTGATGATGTCAGAAAAGTTATGGTTTTCGATCAACATCAGTCTTCCATAGTATTGTAGATCCTGAGCCCGGACGAAAAACTTGTTCATCTGTTCTTCCCCTAAAGCAGGTCTAACCTTAGCAGCCTCTGATCTCCAACGAGTGGCATACTCGCGGAATGTTTCTGTGAGTTTCTTCTTTAGATTCTGAATGTAAAACATATCCGGTGCATTTTCCATATTGAACCTGAATCTGTCCATGAAGTCGGACGCCATACTTACCCAGTTTGACCACTTCCTTGGGTCTTGGCTAATGTACCAGGACAGAGTATCTCTTTTCAGGCTCCTCGTGAAAAGCTTCATGCGGATCTTCTCATCTTTTCCTACTCCGACCAGCTCGTCGCAGTATGTCCTCAAGTGAACCCTGGGATCCCCTGTACCATCAAACATTTCGAACTTGGG